TATATATACATATATAAGAGTCTGGATTAAACTGTTAAGTGTTTGCACACATTGCATCCCGATGATGGCGAATCTGCGCGGATCTGCACGAATAATCCTACAGTAATGATAGTGATCGTGCGTCTTATCACGGGTGATCGTGGGTGATAGCGTGACTCACGAGTTAAATTCGGGTTCTTTCCTTCCCCTTCGTATTCATGACTCTTGAATTTTCATAAACAAACGAGAATGGGTGTTGGCCTCAAACCACTGGAGTTTACGGATTGTTTAACCGACAGTCCGTATTTCCGCGAGAATCTTCACTATCACGAGCGCGAATTGGAAAAGACCAGTCAGCAGATCAAACGGCTCGTTAAGGAGGTCAAAGATTTATTGCTAGCTGCTAAGAGTAAGTTCATGACGCGACGTTTTTTTTTTCTCTACTCGGACTATCGAAACATGTGTTTGTGTAACAGCTGTTGCACATATAATTTACCTCCGTGCGTAATTAGTAAGTCAAGACTTTTGCAATGTTCTTCCATGACAAAGTGAATTTAGAGATAATAATCTGCTTGTTTTATTTTTTTCCTTCTCTATCAGAGATTGTAGAAAATAGTTTTTTATCAATGTAATCTAGTCTCCTTTGCTTGTGTTAAATTAGTTATAATAACGTATGTGCTGTTTTTTTCTAGATTTGTCTAGAGCGCAAAGAGCCTTTTCTAAAACGTTGCAAAACTTTAGTTTTGAATGTATCGGCGAGAGCCAAACTGAGGACGAGACTCATATATCTCAGAGTTTGAAAGAATTTGGCAAACTTATAGCATCCATAGAAGATGAGAGGGATCGCATGGTATGCAATGAATAAATTAGTTTGTAGAATATATTCATTGCATTTAATAGATCTTGATAGAGAATGTTGTAATTTTAAAATGTTGATATATAAAAAAGATTAAGATTAGTTTAAAGGAGATTCTGTTAGTAATGATGTATAGTAATGATGTCATTCCTTAAAATAGCTTTCCTTTTTCTAGTTGGAACGAGCGTATGATCAAATTATATTACCTTTGGAGAATTTTAGGAAAGAACATATCGGTGGAGTTAAGGTAAGACTGTTTAATGATTCTTTACAATGTATTTATACAATTAATATTTATATCTCTAAAATATTTCAAGCCAACAAAATATGTTTAGTTTTATTTATTTTGGTTTTGTAATGTTTCAGGATGGTAAAAAGAAATTCGAGAAACAGACGATTAAATTTTGTCAGAGTCAAGAGCGTTACTTGAATTTATCCACGAAAAAGCAGGACAATGTTTTACAAGAGGTATATTTAATGATCTATGAAGAATTTAGGATTGTACATTATTATGTAATTGACATTTTGTATGCATGTATAATCTATAGGCTGACGCGACGTTGGAAATGGCTGAAAGACACTTCTCTCAAGCTAGTTTAGAATATGTATTTTTACTGCAGGAAGTTCAGGAACGGAAAAAATTTGAATTTGTCGAAACGGTAATAGTTTGAACAAAAATTATGCATGCAATAAAATTATTCTTTATTACGTACTTAAGTGTTTTCTACATTAAATACGTGTGCAAAATAAATTGCAGTCTAATGTAATATAAAATGTTTCAGTTGTTGGGATTTATGTTTGGATGGTTGACGTTCTATCATCAAGGTCATGAAGTCGCGAAAGATTTCAAACCCTATATGACAGAGCTACAATTAAAAATTCAGAAGGTTGGTAATAATTCCTGTAATGTGTCTTTAACTGCTTAAATACGTTAAATTATAGAAGAAAAAAAGTATTTTATCTCTCTAGTCGATATATTTATTTCCTTGTTAATGCATTATTGCGAGTGACGATAACGTAGAAGCATTATTTTAATGACTTAATAATTTAATGTTATCGCTGTATGTTTGTATGCAAGAAAATTTTGTTGAAATATGCATCACTAACATGTAGATACATGTTTGCTCTATAGTATTTCTAATATTATTGATAATGAGAGTTCTCCTTTTCCAGCTTAAACCAAAATTACATATTGCATAAGTTAACAACATTGAAAATTAATTTTAATAAAATTTAAAATATAGAATTTCGCAAATAACGCGCGCTATATAATTGCTAAAGTAAGTTTAACTTATATTTATATTGTACATTAAAATATGGAATTTATAGCAGAAATACATTATTAAATATTTACCATAATTTCCTTTTGGAATTGGTATAAGGATGCGGAAAATCATAGCCATTGATAAATGAAATCTGTAACATTCGCGACTAAATTATTCTATAAAGTACCAATATAATAAGATTGATAACAGCATGAATAAGCGCTTATTAATTTTTATTTGTGTGTGTGCGCGTGTGTTTCACAAGACTAGAGAGAATTTCCTTGCTACCCGGGATAAAACTGAATCACTTATGAATAAAATGAAGGACATGAAAAAGGTATGTTATATAGCAATTTTTGTATTTTTTCTCTTAATTACTTAGTAAGAATTATATAGAAACACATTGTTTTGTAGTTTTATTCTGTCATTTTAAGTACAAGCATTAAAAATTAAGCATTAAATATCGATCGTTATTTATTAGTTATGGATTTTTTAAGTGTAAAGTATGCTTTCTACATTCACCCATATCATCTTTTTTTTCTTAGTCCGCTGTAGAAAGTGGTCTCAACAAATTACACTCGCGCGAAGGATATTTATTCCTAATGGAGAAAAGTAAGTTCATTATAATATAAAAAAGTTCTTGGTTTCTTTGATGAAAACTAATTGTTTAGTGAGTCTTAATATAAATATCTTTTAATATAAATACTATATTATGAATGTCGCTATGTGCATTACAAAAAAAACATGTTTGCAGAAGCATTTGGTACAACATGGACGAAACAGTATTGCACATATCAAAAGGATAGGAAAGAATTCACTATGATCCCTTATAATCAACTCACGGGAAAATTTGTAAGTAAAGTGGAAACTTAATTATTAATATGTATAATATGTATTATTAAGGATCTTCGGAATGATTTCTCAATATTTTATTTTTATAGAGTGGTAAGGAAACTCTTACACTATGGTCTTGCATACGACGAACATCGGACACTATCGAAAAAAGATTTTGCTTTGACATTACTGCCATAGATAAGTAAGAATTTGTATGTTTAACATATAATTATTTTACCATGAATGAAAAATGATTAAAGCCTCTCTGCTGTTTTTCCAGACCTAGTGTAATATATACATTCCAAGCGCTTTCCGAAGAGGATAGGAAGTTATGGATGGATGCTATGGATGGGAAGGAACCTGTGAGAATCTTTGTACATTTCAATGATATACAAATGGTCGCTTTTACTACTTTTCTATCTTTTATAAACGAAATTGCGTGTAACAATCGTGTAATTATTTTCCAGACTTGTCCACGATTAGGTTCTTCTACGAGACCCGAAGATATAACGTTGGCTGAAACCGGTTTTACGTTCGTATCGAAATGTATTGCGGCGCTCGAAGATAGAGGTGATACAATTGACTTTTTCCTCAGTAATCAAGCTTTCTGCTCTAATATCATTTGATAATATGATTAATTTATTAATTTTAAATAATTGTCGACAGGATTAGAAGAACAAGGTTTATACAGAGTGGTCGGAGTTGCTTCTAAAGTAAATAAACTTTTAACAATGGGTCTCGATAAGAGGAAAGTGGATAAGTTCAGTTTAAGCGATCGTTTTGAATGGGAGAGTAAAACTATTACCAGTGCGCTCAAAACTTACCTGAGAACATTGTCCGAGCCATTAATGACTTTCCGATACTACAATAGCTTCATTACAGCTGCGAGTGCGTATAGGTATTCTTGATAATATATTGTTTTATTTTATTTTTGCTACTGTATCTATTTTCGGAGATTAAAGAAATTTCACGATAGCTGCTTTCTTCCTTCTATCTCTCCGTTTTTCTCAAACACTTCAATTCGCCCTCCCTATTATTATTTTCAACATTCTTTCTGTATAAAATTAAAGTTTCGTTGTGATTTTTATATTATGGTATTTAACAGAACAGGAGATGAAAGAAACTCGGATAAATGATATACACAATCTCGTTTATCGATTGCCTAAATCCAATTTTAATATGCTGATTCTTCTTATTACTCATCTTTGCAGGTAAGAAATATTATTAATTTATAGAATTCAGCGTTTTTTATATATATGTGTACTTCTAAGTTTTACTTATTTATCTCAACTCGAAGATTTAATATCGAAAATATTTTACTTTTGTTAAATTTTATTTAAACTAAAATTTTCAGCGTGGCAAAAAAAAGTGATAAAAATCTGATGACTGTGGGGAACTTGGCAGTATGTTTTGGTCCGACTTTATTACGACCAGAAGAAGAAACAGTAGCTTCTATAATGGACATTAAATTTTACAATATTGTTGTTGAAATATTGATTGAGAATTATGAAAGAATAGTAGCTGGACCACCCCAAGATTCTTTGCAGCGCGCAGTAACAGCGCAGCCCACGCTACAAGCCACTGTTATTCCAAGTAAATCGCAATGCATTAAAATGGAAGAAGGTCCAACTTCCTCGGGTAATGGAACGGCATTTTTAAGATATCCGCTACACACAGCGGTACATACAACAGTAACACCCGCGTCATCACACGCGCACGTAAGTTTGCAATATTGTCTTTTCTTTCATTATTATGTATATATATTTATATATTTATGTATATAGCTTGTTACAAGATCTTATTATGATAGTCAACCTTTGACTGTTAATAAGTCGCCCACTATTGATGAGAGAAATAATGGAGATTACGATCGAGAAGATCTTGATAGCACAGGTCATCGTATACCATCGTACTTGGATAGTCGCGGCGGTGGTACCAGCAGCGGTCGTATAAAATTGACTAACGCGAATCTTATGTATCATTCAACTGACAAAGGTCTTATTCTTTTTTCTTATGTTCTTTATGTTCTTTCACAATAATCTCTAGTATCTGTCGATATTTCCTCTGAACGAAAATATTATTATTCCAGTTCTAAGCGGTGGCAACACGAGTAGTTCGAGCGAATCAATAGCCTCGGATCCTCATCCCTTTACAGGCGAATTACCAATAAAACAAAAACGTGGCACCATGATATCCGTGCACTATCCCACGGCTTATCCTCAGCGTAGCAACTCGTCATCGATATGTCCGTAAGATGTCCCAATTCTTTCATTGGCAAAAATCTACTTTTTTATGCGATAAATATTTTTTATTATCATGTATGATCTTATACATAATTACAGCATCAATACTTCACCTAGTAGTGGACGTTCGAGTCCTGGTCAAATTCCAGGAATTTGGTAAGCATTCTATACATAGATTTAGAAAGATTGGGACTCTCAAGTTTGTATAAATTTTCAGGAGAGTGCGAACTTTATATGCGTGTATGGCGGAAAACGATGGCGAATTATCATTTGAACCAAATCAAATTATCACAAATGGTAAGAGCGACACAAAAGTATTGATTTTTATAGAGATTTGAAAAAGGCACGTAACAAAATATATTATTACAGTTAAGGCCTCTTTGGAGCCAGGTTGGCTGGAAGGTACATTAAACGGTAAAACGGGTTTAGTGCCGAAGAATTATGTGGAGCAACTGCCCTAAGTACTGTGAAGGAAAAGAAAACCAAAGAGCGTCTAAGAAAATGTAGGCAATTTTATCATTACAAAACAAATTTACAAATATTCTTTTAGATAATGTTCTTGATATCACTGAGAAGGAAGCAAATTTGTGAAAACTGTACTATACAAGAACAGCCATGTTTTTTGAGCTTTCATATCAATTTTGTTTGACTACACACTGCTTAGTCAATTATATATATTATATATATTATAAATAAATATATATATATACATATATATATACACACACACACATATATATATATATACGTACACATATACAATATATATATATATATACATATATGTACGTATGTATTCTTATGTAAACATTATTTATTAGAAGCATTTTATTCTATGTGTATCTAAATTGTATATAATGACTTACGAATGGTATGTGCATAAGGATCTCATATAGAATTAATATTTCTATATGTATTTGAATACATTTATACTAAAAGACATTCCCATAATGTATATGGAGATTCCATGGAGCTTATAGGAAATTTTAAAGGTAATAACCATTCGTTTTTATAGTATTGTATTATAATTATAATAAAATAAATATATAATGCCATATTGAGAAAATACTGATTATCTTGGAAAATTTTATAAACCTATACATAAAATATGTTATTTAATATTACATCATAGTATCAATATCGGAAAATGTGAAACGCAACTCGTATAAAACGAAATGCGGTTACGCTTGAAAGACTGGATTTGAAGAACTAAACTTCAATTTCAACATTATAATGGAAGTATAAATGCATGCATATGTAAATAGATATATTTTATCATAATGTTGATTTCTGTGAAATGATATGCATAGTTCATAGTTGGTCAATCAGTAATATTATAAATGTCTGTGTCTAGACATTTAGTAAAAAAAGATAGTAAACGTACATGTAACACAATTGTAATTCTGTCAATAATGAATTAAAAAAAAACAACCATTACAATCTTATAGTTCAATTTTAGTATTCATACTTTAGTCTTCATATTAACTTGTTTTTTTAACTCAACCTATATTAATTTTAAATTTTATTTAATAATAAAATCATAACGTGATAAATATAGTATAAATGCAAATTGAAAACAAATATTACTTTATATATATCTTAAAACAATTATTACTTTATATATACTTTATATATATATATATATACATTTTAACATATTTCCTCAGTTCGATTCTCTCTACCTGCTCATGATGGATGACGAAATATGTTAAAATCACTCTGTGTATATATATATATATTAAATATATATTTTTTATTTAACGAAATTTTTATTTGAGCGTTATCAATTGTTATGTTAAACTCTCTTTTGGAAGTATTACAATATCCAGTAAACACCAACTAACAATAACATAAAATCAATTATAATTTTACACTTAATAATGTAACTGTTATATACAACATGTGTTTTTACATTTATATTATTGAGTGTGAAATTATAACATTGATTGTATGTTACTGTTAATTGGCAGTTTACTAGATCTGTATTATTGTAGAAATTTGACATTCAGTTTTGATTATTATCCAAATGTGTCATGTAAATTTCTATAGCTAAACGTCCTGCTCTTAATGCGTTTTTCTCTGCACAATTCCATAGTGAACTCATAAATACAGTGTAGCATAATAATGCAGTCAGAAGAATACATACTATATTCAAACCAATATCTGCAGCTAAAGATATATTCATGCAATTTAGCCAGATGATCCAAATTAATGGAATGATTAGCATGCAGGTTGACAATGTATACCAAAAACGTTGGCGTTGTACACTTTTCAATGCGTCTTCGCAAATTTCTATTGCTTCTTTCATGGAATCGATAATATCTAGTTCTTTCGCATGATGTTTATCTGCACAAACAAATATATAAATCTAAACTATTAATTGAAGAAATACATTTAAAAAATAGATAAATGTTTATGTATATGCATAATACATGTGAAATATTTAAATACATTGCTTACCATTAATGAATTTAAGTGTAGCCATCACAGCTTCATGGTCGGAATAACTAAAATTCTTATATGGCACACGATTTGGCAAGGGATGTCCAAAATTTGTAACTTCAACCTACAAGTTTTAATGTATTATTATATTATATATCGTATCAATATTTCCATATTAGTTGCATTAATCCTTTACCTTCACAGTATTCGAACCTAAATACATAATGTGATCTATACGCTTTCCATTTGGCTGTGTTCGAGCGAGTTTTGAACTGGTGTAACTATTATTGGCACATTCGTTGGTCCCTATGTGACTCTGACTATCAGGACATGTATCTGCTAAACCAGAAACACCACGTATAATTCTATAAGCTAAGTCTTGTGGCTCTGTATTAAGATCGCCTGCAAATATGACAGCATCCACGCCGCCACTCGTCATCTTTACAAATTGAGCAGTATCAAATGCTTGTAGCACTCTGTGAGCCATGTACTCATCATTCTCACGATTATATTCCGCGTGTAACTGTAAAATAAAAATAGTAAACATTTAATATCCTTTAAAAGTCATCATAGCTGTCTGATTATACATTACATTATTTATAACACATAAAAGAATATTTTATACATGATTAAATAGCAACGAAAAAGTTACTAGATGAACATACGTGTGTGATATAAACATTGATATACATGTTAAACACTTTTATTTTGCACAGTCCAACTCCTTTGCCACCAAACCAGTCTCCATGGTGTATCTTATGAACATAACCATTTAAAGGCCACTTGTGAAACATAACATCATGAATGGGATATCTTGACAAGATACATATTCCTGATCCCAAGACTCCACTACGTAAGAAATATAAGATTACAATTATTTAGTAAACAAATTCAAATTGATTCTGAATGACAGAGATGACTTACTGTACCTATGAAAATAATGAGAATGGGGAAGCACTTCCTGCACTTTTGTTTTTATCTGATTAAAATCATTGACAGACCAAACTTCTTGCAAACAGATTATATCGTATTCCCTACTGATACATTTTTCTGCGATAGCAGACATACGTTCATTCTTGTTTCTTGACACATATGGTATACCCCTATCAAAACAGAAGCAACAGAACATGAATTAAAACTTACTCTTTAGGCTCCTATTCTAATTCTTAATGACAGTACAATATTGTTGCAAGAGTTTTATACATGATAAAAATATGTAATAACGATATAGATACTAATAATGAATACTATCGTTAAGAATTATAAAATAAGAGCCTTAGGAATGCGTTTTGTAAAATAAGTAAAAATTTCATCAGAATAGCTTACCAACAATTCAGTGTCAAAACGTTCACCGATATTTCGTTCGTCATAGTTTTTGTCTCAACAATATCGTTCTGTAGAAGAACACAACACGGTGATTAAATTGTTATGGAATGACACTGGCCGTGACTTCCTTCGAGTTTCATATCTTTGACGGCGACTGGCGACACAGATAAGATAACTGGGAGATATAAAAAAAAGTAGAAAATCAGCAATGAAGAACTTATTTTTCCGAATGATTTATTTTACATATTTTCTTCTTGTCTGTAAGTTAAAATTATTTAGCAAGCCTTTGTCAATGTGTATCCACGTATGCAAGTGTACATACATCCCTTTACATCAATGCACCTTCTCCATTCTCATTACGAACAGTGACAGATCGACAAAGCTATTGTCATTTCTTTATAGTGCACACTACAGTGCAGTGACTGCACCAAATACATTCCTGAGGTCTGAGTTTTCTAGCTAAACCAGTGTACACTTTTGGAACTTAAAGAGAAACGTATATGCTTGATATTTGTTGAAAATAAAAAAGAGAATTCTAACAGTTTCTTATAGTTTAGTGCAAAAACAGAAAATAGAATTAGAAAAACAGAAAATTTGTAGTGATGGAATGAATACTGCACCAACTGCACGTAGTGCAGTAAGTTGAAATGAAACAAACGTATATTGCACCTTTCTTGATTCCACCATGATATAACAGGTCTGTTTTTTATTGCTGCACTGTCTGAACTGGTGCACACGGTTTGCACCAATGCAATAAGTTGAAGTGAAACGTACATCTGTTTCGCTTCAACTTATTGCACTGTGTGCATCAGTTCAGATAGTGCAGCAATAAAAAACAGACCTATACATAAACCAAACATTCTGTCCGTAGCTTGAAGGAAATTGATAGTTTATGTTTAGCACCCGTTGTGTTTCTTTAATATTTTGAGAACAGTGCGATTGTAGATGCATTTCGTTTTAGGCCGTTTTAGGAATCAGATTATATACGCATACGAACAAAATTATATTTGCGCATAACGCGATTGATCAATCGATGAATTAAAAATTCGCCCATTATCGGTAACAGGCAGTTCCCAATATTAAAAGAGTAAAGATGATGAAGAATTAATTACTTCAGAAGAAACTGATTGATTCCGTTATTTTTTCATATTTTTCATTAAATTAATAAAAATAGAATAATATAGACCAGACTCTTAAGAGTCTTTTATCATTCTATTTTTATTAACTTAATGAAAAATGTGAAAAAATAACGGAATCAATCAGATATCTGAACGCATGGAAAAATTAAAAAACACGTTATATAAATTAAAAATCTGTCGCACACGTTTCATCGATGTTTCACGATCATTCTATTTTACATTCCGCTCGTTCTTATTTTCATTTTATATTTAGCATAACGCATGGAAAACTACATCTCCGTCTGTATTTCGACAAGATCCGTAATTAAAGACTCGAAAGGCGAAATGACGATAATCGGATTCTCGGATCTCAAACTTGCACTTGCAGTAGATTATACATTTAAATTTAATTCCTTAACTTTGAAAAGCGTCGATTAATCGACTTTTGCCCATCCCAATCGACCCTCCATCATTGTCGCTCGTGCGACGTGAACGGTGTTTCCTCTGATCCTCTGTTTAAAACATTCGCTCGTGTTATGCTGATTTTTTATATTCGGAAAACTAGGATGGAAAGCGATTGGCGATATTGATGAGATCGAGCAATAAGCTTTTATGCTTCGTGGGAAACGCTCGCTTGTGTTTCGAGATGTGTCTTGATGGTCCAAGACTCCATATCTCCCATCTCGTCAACGTTTTACGATCTCGTTCGTGATTTCGACGATCTCGAGATCATATCGTGATGTACGTACGAAATACATAAATATCACGCACGTAGAGGTACATCCTGTCGTTTACGGAGCATACTTAACCTCCCGGTTGTCGCTGCATCTTGTCTTCCGGAGGACAACTGTACGAGGAGGGCACGATGACGACCGAGAAAGTTACTCTGGGCGACGCTCTGTCGAACGTCGACGTGCTCGACGAGTTTACGCTGCCGGACGAGCAACCCTGTATAGAGGCTCAACCATGTTCCGTTGTGTACCAAGCGAACTTTGACACCAATTTCGAGGATAGAAATGGTTTTGTGACGGGTATCGCCAAGTATATAGAAGAGGCGACTGTACATGCGAGCTTGGTAAGCTTATCCTTTGATTATAAACTGATGTGTGTACAATTCATTGTTAATTGGGATAAACTTTTGTTTGTAATATTTAGAATGAGTTGCTGGAAGAAGGTTTGGAGCATGCAGTCATGTTGTATACTTGGAGATGCTGTTCGCGAGCAATTCCACAGCCAAAATCTAACGAGCAGCCAAACCGAGTGGAAATCTATGAAAAAACAGTTGAGGTGTTAGCACCTGAAGTGAATAAATTGCTGAATTTCATGTATTTTCAAGTAAGCTTAAACTGCTTTATGTTGTTATATTTATTCTTTGTTGTTATAATAAATTGCACTAAAACTTTCTATTTTACTGTCACTAAAAACTTCAAATATATATATCTATTTCATTTTTACCATATACTAGTTAAGCTATGAAGAACAGATCCTATTTTACTTTAAGTATAAATGTATATCAGTTCGTACATAAAGAACAGATTTATGGTAATTTCAAGCAAAGTGTGATCAATCAAAAAATTTAATTGATTGATCAAACATGGATTTTTTTATTGGTTATTAAACATATGAAAAAAGATTGTAGGGACAACAAATTATATAGTTAAAGATTTTATCAGTTAGATTAAATGCAAGTTAAGTTAATCAGAATTTGGCTTTATATATTGCATACATGTATATTCGTGCATACTTTTATTTTAGAGAAAAGCGATTGAGCGATTTTCAGGGGAAGTTAAACGATTGTGTCATCATGAAAAAAGAAAAGATTTTGTATCTGAGGCATACTTGTTGACCTTAGGGAAATTCATCAACATGTTTGCTGTCTTGGACGAATTGAAAAATATGAAATCTAGCGTAAAGAATGACTATTCCACATACAGAAGGTGATTTATGAAAAACAAGATTTTATTTTGATCTTTTTAATTGCACTTATTCTTAAGTATGTTTTGCTTAATTTTTAGAGCTGCACAGTTTTTAAAGGTCATGTCAGACTCTCAGACATTGCAAGAATCTCAGAACCTGTCAATGTTTTTGGCAACACAGAATAAAATTCGCGATACGGTTAAAGAAAATCTCGAAAAGATTGCAGGATACGAAGAATTACTTGCGGATGTAGTCAATATCTGTGTTCATATGTTTGAGACTAAGATGTACCTTACGCCTAATGAGAAGCACATGTTGGTGAAAGTAATGGGTTTTGGTTTATTTCTAATGGACAGTGAACTATGTAACATTAATAAGCTCGACCAAAAGAAAAAATTGAAATTGGATAGAATCGATAGAATCTTTAAGAACTTGGAGGTAGTACCATTATTTGGAGATATGCAAATTGCACCATTTAATTATATCAAACGTTCAAAGCACTTTGACGCTTCAAAATGGCCACTGTCTTCGTCATCAAATAGCATAAGTCCGCAAGCCGATCTTATGGTACATCTTCCTCAAATTAGAGAAGATCACGTAAAGTATATTAGTGAATTGGCAAGGTATATCTTGTTCATTTTCTCTTTCGTTTTAACTTGTTTTTGTGATATAACGTTTCACAATTATATACAGATATAGTAACGAAGTCATTACAACGTACAAAGAATGCCGAAGTGATACAGAAAATCGAGATACTGCGGAACTGGCATTACGTGGATTACAATTACTTTCGCAATGGACTAGTGTTGTAACAGAGCTGTACAGTTGGAAACTATTGCATCCTACTGACCATCATATGAACAAAGAATGTCCGCAGGAGGCTGAAGAATATGAAAGAGTATGATTATTATTCTATTAATGTTTCTTAATATTTTACACCATTGTCATGTTTATTGATTAAAAAAAATTATTTTATTAATCCCATTCTTCTTATATAGGCTACACGATATAACTATTCTGATGAAGAGAAATTTGCCCTTATAGAAGTTATAGCAATGATTAAGGGATTGCAAGTATTAATGGCACGAATAGAGACTGTTTTTATTGACGCAATACGTAGGAATATATATGCTGAGTTGCAAGATTTTGTACAGCTTGCATTGCGTGAACCTTTAAGGAAAGCCATCAAAAATAAAAAGGATTTGATTCGAAGGTTAGAGTATAAACTATTTAAATATGATATAAAAATTTTAGATTTCTTTTTCATGTATAATATGTAATACAAGTATATGGTATATATTATATGTAAGTGAAGTTTATAGAAATTATTTAATAGCTAAAATAACTTTAAAATTAAAAAATAATTTCATACGTCATTTCTTTTATCTTTTTGTTTCAGTATAATTGTTTCCGTTAGAGAAACTTGTGCAGATTGGCATTTTGGAGTAGAACCACTCGGAGATCCCGCTTTAAAAGGCAAAAAAGATCCAGACAATGGGTTCGGCATTAAAGTCCCGCGAAGAAACGTTGGTCAGTTTTCTATATTAATACGTTGCATATATTTATTATTTGTATGTCATTGACTTTGGAAACTCATTACGATGAAATGAAATAGGACCGTCTTCCACACAATTGTATATGGTGCGAACCATGTTGGAATCGTTAATAGCCGATAAAAGCGGTGGGAAACGCACTCTGAGGAAAGACATTGATGGCCAATACCTTGTTCAAATCGATCAGTTCCATAAAACTAGTTTTTATTGGAGTTATCTTTTAAATTTCAGTGGTAAGTAAATGAATGTTATTTTCGAATATACAATTATTTTTTTATTTTAAAAACTTCTTCTTCTTCTGTAGAATCTCTACAAAATTGTTGTGACTTGTCGCAACTATGGTACAGAGAATTTTATCTGGAAATGACAATGGGTAGGAAAATACAGGTAAATAATGTTAATTTTTTAATTTTATTAAACACCTCAGCGTAATTTTGAAATCTCCATATAATTTAAAAATTGAATAAATGAATTAAAAAAATGAATAGCTGTATATGAACAATCGTATCCATTTAATTTGAGCCGTGAGCATGTAAAGATCTTAACATTCACCGATTGATGGATATAAATTTTGAGATTTGTTTTAACACCTTTCCCCTGGCTTGCATATTGAAGTTATTATGAAGCTATGATTATGAACATAGTCGTTTCTATAATTTATTTCATGATTAGAAATGCCAAGTACGTCACCAGCATAACGAGGAGTGCAGCGACCTAATCACCATGGAGAAACGCATTCAGGTATTTTCCGTTTGCTGTGCGTACGATAGATAATCAATATCACGTACAAAACATGCCAGAAACTGTAAAGTTGAAAGCTTAATTTCAGGTGTTATTTCACGCCTACTCCGTTACAAAAGAGCCATGTGGCAAATGCCATATAGAAATACCATTCATTATATTTTATATCCAACGTTTAATCGATAAAATGTTTCAGTTTCCCATTGAAATGTCTATGCCATGGATATTGACTGATCATATATTAAGAAGCAAGGAACCGTCAATGATGGAGTAAGTTTTTATATAAGTAAAATGGTTGTTAATGTATATATAATAATAGTGCTTCTTATAAATTAGAATGCACACATACAGGTTTGTGTTCTAGTATTATATAATCATTCCATGATATATCATTGCTATTATTAATTTTATAGATATGTTTTATATCCACTGGATTTATATAATGACAGCGCCTTATACGCACTGACGATATTTCGCAAACAATTTTTGTATGATGAAGTGGAAGCCGAAGTGAATTTATGCTTCGATCAATTTGTTTACAAACTTAGTGAACAGATTTTCGCGCATTATAAGCAACTGGCAGCCAGTATTCTATTGGACAAACGATTCAGAGTAGAATGTGTCGCTCTTGGAGCATATTTACTTCCATATCCACGCGCTAATAGATACGAAACGTTGTTAAAACAGAGGCATGTTCAGTTATTGGGAAGAAGTATCGATTTAAATAAACTTATAACACAACGCATTAATGCGGACATGCAAAAATCATTAGATTTGGCCATTAGCAAATTCGAATCCGGCGATATAACTGGAGTCGTGGTAAGCACGCGTGTTTACAATATTTGCGCTGTAAACAAGCATCAATTAATCGATAACTGATCCGGCAGGAGCTAGACGGATTGTTGCAAGTCAATCGCCTTACGCATAAGCTTCTGAGTAAGTGGCTCGCGTTAGATGAATATGATGCTATGTTCAGAGAAGCGAATCACAATGTTCTAGCCCCATACGGAAGAATTACTCTTCATGTATTCTGGGAATTGAATTATGACTTTTTACCAAATTATTGTTACAACGCCGCCACAAATAGGTATACATAATGTTGCATTAAGTACATTCTGGATTATTGATTTGATATTACTAATATGTGTTATTTGACAGATTTGTCAAATGTCGCGGTCTACAATTTGTACAACCCGTTCATAGAGATAAACCGCCTCAAATGTCGCACCATTATCTCTGGGGTAGTAAGCAATTAAATCTGGCTTATAGCACTCAATACGGACAATATACGGGATTCGTCGGTCCACACCATTTTCGTACAATATGTAAGCTTCTTGGGTATCAAGGAATAGCTGTGGTTATGGAAGAACTCTTGAAGATCGTTAAGACCTTGATCCAAGGAAGCCTGCATCAATTTACGAAGACTTTGATGGAAGCCATGCCTAAAGTCTGCAAGCTTCCACGGTATGATTACGGATCTCCCGGAGTTTTAGGCTATTATCACGCTCAGTTGAACGACATTGTGCAATATCCAGATGCTAAGACTGAATTGTTTCATAATTTTCGCGAATTTGGCAATACAATTCTATTTTGTCTCTTAATGGAACAAGCTCTATCGCAAGAAGAAGTGTGCGATTTGCTACACGCAGCGCCGTTTCAGAACATTTTGCCGAGACCTTATTGCAAAGGTGAGGAACAGTATGTGTTACTTAGCACTATGAGCTAATTCGAATAGAAATGAAAAATAGCTCTGCGTGAAATGTTTATTATTTACGTATGCAATTTTCAGAGGGAGAAAAACCCGAAACGAAACAGAAACGATTAGAGGCGAAGTACGCGGCTTTACAAATTGTTCCAAACGTTGACAAATTAGGTACTGCTAAAGTAAGTATAACATATCTCTTCAAAGTATAGGTTGTATTTTTTCGATCTACTCTATGAATGACTTGTTCTTTCAGCAAGCGATGATTGCCAGAGAAGGAGATTTATTAACACGCGAACGATTATGCTGCGGCTTATCAATATTCGAAGTTGTGCTCAGTAGATTACGGAGCTTCTTAGACGATCCTATCTGGGTCGGGCCACCACCAGCAAATGGTGTAATGAATGTGGACGAATGCACGGAATTCCATAGGCTTTGGAGTGCGCTTCAATTTGTATACTGTATTCCTGTTGGTGATACTGAATTTACCGTTGAGTTAGTATAGCACTTAATACAATGTAACATAAGTTTTTTTCTTATCTATCGACAATGTAACAATGATTGCGATTCTTCTCTTTTGCAGAGAATTATTTGGTGAAGGTTTGCATTGGGCTGGTTGCGCTATGATTGTCCTTTTGGGCCAACAACGTAGATTTGAGGCACTTGATTTCTGCTATCACATTCTTCGAGTGCAACGCGTGGATGGCAAAGACGAGAATGTTAAAGGAATAGTAAGTAATACAATATATATAATATATATTAATACAACAATTTGCTTACATTTGAGCTAAATATGTACATCATTTATCCTTAAAGCATTTGAAGAGGATGGTGGATCGGATCAGACGATTTCAAGTATTGAACTCACAGATATTTGCTGTGTTAAATAAATATTTGAAAAGCGGAGACAGCGATGCGGCAAGTGTGGAACATGTACGCTGTTTTCAACCTCCGATACATCCTTCACTGGCTCACGCGCAACAGCATTATCATGCACCTGAATATTTACGCCAAATAAATCATCAGTAAATGATAATCATGAAACATTTATATTTTGCATCTTTATTGCGTCAAAATGCAATTTGAATAGGACTCAAAGAAACGAAATCATTCCTCACTATTTACGGAGGAACATTTCTAGCTAAAAAGTTTCATATATTTTATATTACATCTGTGTCGAAATATCATTTGTACTATCTATTTAATTCAATTGCTATAAATGTTTACAAAAAAACGTTTTTTACAATTGAGGTAAATTTATAGAATTACGAAAAAAAATGCAAACAATGAATTTGAGAATTTAATCTATTCCTAAAGCACGCCAAGATTTTAGTTAATCTATTTAATTTGCTACGTATATATTATATACATATATACATCTAGATGGACTTATATAATACTACTGCTTTAATAGTTTATAACAGAACTGATATAATATGATAATATCCTAGATATAAATATAGCAATCTATCAATGTAATAGAATATGTTTGAGCTTATATTTTGTAAGATACTCCAAGTTTAATCAAAACAAATTATATATTAATATTCATATCACATAAATTTGTGTAGTGTTCATGTACCAATAATTATGTATAAAATGCACACATTTTGTAAAACTACTCGTTTATCCGTTTATTCATATATGTTAAATGATGTCGAATGAATTATTTCAAAACAATCTGCAAGGATTATCAACGATATGCAAGGATTTACGTTTTAACGATTAAACAGAATATGTTAAAATATTTTATTATCGTTAACATTACAATTCTGCAAAGAAATCGGATCGATTATGAATTTTACTACTAGGAAGATTGTGTTCGAGCCATTTTCGCTTTTCACCCTTTTTGGATTCAGTGACATTTAGGGTCTCAAAATATTGTACATTCCAGAATTTGATATCATTATCATGCGAAGAGGATGCTATTAAAATCCCATCATTACTAATATCGAGTGTCTCGACGGAAAAGTTGTGTTGTCCAACTATGCCAAGATGGTGATGAGGAAACAAACTGGTTGCCCTATTTATTGTGATATAACACAAATATCGTATAAATGATACAATTTTTATATATTATAAAATATCGTATGATTCAGTCTTTATAACTTACCTAACTATTCCATCTTCTTCACCAGTTATCACTACGTTTTCCGTAATGGGGATCATACAATTAATTGCCTTCTTTTTGATACTTGGAAATTCATCCGAATGTAGCCCAAATTCTCCCCAATTATATACATACATTTTCCCTTTATTACTAGCCGTTAATAATTTACTTTCCATTTTAAATAAACCAAGACAGGTCAGCTCGTCGTCGTGTTCCTCGGACTGTGTGCGATACATGTATAAAATCGACTTAGTACTTTGCATAGTATGATTACTAAATCATTTGTATATTTTTATAATACCTGTACATGCAGTTTTCTTTCAGGTATGTTTATAGTCGTCAGACAGTCACCACTAGCACAAGCTAAATACTTGGCGTCTGTATTGGTTATCATTGCACTGATGTAATCTTCTGCATCCTTTATAGAAAATATCGGCACGCTTCCCTTTTGCCTGAGATCCCAAACTTGAAATTTTTTTTTATACATAAAATTAATTTGGTTAATTAGAGTTTTAAGAGAGATATTAATTATCATTACGTTTTACTACACCGTTATCGTCGCCTGTTACAAATACATGCTCGCTGATAATCGTCATTGTGTATATAGGTTGCCTATAATTGGAAAAACGAATAAACGCATTAATATCGATACAATTGGAAAAACGAAAAAAACGCATTTAATATTGACATTTTAATATTAATGAATATGGATATACATACTCGTGAGCTTTGTCGTACAATCTGACTAGTTGTTCCGTTTCTACATTGGTTATCGCTATACACAGATCTTTTCCAGTTGAAAATAACAACTGTCCATCTTCACTAAACTCAATATCCCGGCAAGCTTTAAGATGTAATTCTATGGTCGATACAAGATTGGTCTCTTCATTGTTATATTTATACCTAATGCAAAAAAATATTATAGATATAACATTTTGAAACTAAAAATGATTTAGATCAAACTCTAATTAACTTATCAATCCATATCTCCACTATTTTGTTAACATGGATAGAATTATTAAATTCTTATTGTTTGACATCAAGGATATCAAATTACGTAGAATTTTAAGTAATCTATTAATATATACGATTTGTTGATCCTTTACTACATACAAAGATCATTCGTGTATACTTTAACAGTACTTATAAAGTTGTGTATATAAAAGAAAGAATAGAGACCTTTATTTTAGTCAGTGCTCCTAGTATTTCAAAGAAAAGAAATGCATAGTATATGAATGATTCATATCATGTGTACTAAGAATTAATTAAATTAATCACATGTTAAATTATAATTTTCAATCGTTCTAAAATATATTCTAAAATATCAAACTTACATGAAAACATCTCCCGTGATACTGGCTACGCCTATAGTATCCAATTTAGGATGGAAACATATATCTGTTATCATATCTTCCAATGTAATAGAGGGTGGATGATTCCTATGCAATTCCTTTGCATGTAATATAGCTTGAACAACTTCATCTGCATCTGAATTAATAGAATCTTCATCATCATTGTCATTATTTTGCTGGGATGGCCCATCTAGATGAATTTGAAAGATATTTTCTTTAAGATAAATTATTTAACTTATTTTATAACAATTTATACAAAAGGAGAATTAAAAAAAAATACCTGAAGTAGATGTTGAGGCTTTTGACTTCTTAATAACAGGAATAGTATCATCATTGCTATCTGATACAGATTCATTTGTTGAACTCTCATCATCACTGCTTATATCCTGGTTTGGTATCCTATCTGTACTCATATCACTATCATCACTATCAATATCATTGGATATTAAATTACCTGCGAATCAATTATATATTTATAATATTTAAACATCATAAAAGACAAATGTCTACAAATATTGTAATAATTATAACATCATTGGTAAAATTTTTTCATATAATTTTTTAGAATTTTTATACAAATTAAATTAAAAATTTTATAACTTTTTAGAAAATTTCTCAAATTCTTTATACAAATTGGGACACTTTTCAGAAGTCTATATCTTTTCTAGAATTCTTCGTATGTACATACATGAATTTTGAAATATTCTGAGATTTCTAAGATTTCTATTGTTATAAGTTCTGATTGAATTTTATAAAATCTGAAAAAGTTAAAAGGTTAGTTTTTCAGAAATTATAGAATGAGAAAATTAAAAATCTTTGAATATTTTGGAATTCATATATATGAGAAATTGTAAAGATGTAGACTTTCTCAGTATTTTTGAAAAGTATTTTAGTTCATATAAAATTTGAGAAAAACTTTTACTGAAATATATTACTCATCGATTTACCTGTTTTCCAGTGCATTCTTAGAAAAAGAAATGTGAAGGAATATTATAAGGCAATATAAGATATCACGCCACACGCGAAACTCGAACTGCTCGGAACGGAATTACGAATGAGGTTATGTTCGAGCTACAAGTGTCAAGTAGAAAGATCAGGAAAGATGCCTAGCTATAGTTCGTTTGCTTCTTTCCCGACTTCATTGATCGTTGACATGAAAGAACAATTATGAGAATAATGCGATTGACTTGGTAGAGTACAAGATAGACACGATATAACTGTAAATTTCGTAAATATCACGATTTCGCGATTAATTATATCTTAACCTCAAAAGGAGAGTAAAAAGGTCGGCAAAGATATTGTTTGTCTCACGCGGCTCACAAGTGAGAAATGCGAGATGTATCCCGCGAACCACAAAACTATATTCGTGCTAGATCACACGCCGTATTTTGGCATCTCCACTGAATCCCCGTTGGAATTTGACTTTCTGAAGAGCAGAGGCCAGAACCTAATCCCACTGGCACCAGTTTGCAAGTCTTTGTGGACCACCAGCGTCGAAGCTTCGTTAGAGTACTGTCGAATTGTATGGGACCTCTTCCCTATAGGCAAATTGGTATGAAGAAACAGACTATTTCTCAACTAACATTTCGTGCTAAACAAACCTGCTAACAATTGTTACAATCATATTGCCATGATAATAACAGAAATATTGTTGAATTAAACTTTTGCTTACAGGTTGTCAAAAATTGTATTTGTATTTCTGATAACAAACAATAATTGTTGTAATTTCATCGAAATATTGTCATATAATCGTATATTTTTTATTAATCATATGTTGTCATAAAGTTACTATACTCAATTTGTGTTTTTTTTTTACTTGTAATATTGCATCAAATGAGAACTCACCTTGTTGACAATTTAGTTGCAATATATTTTAGCAAGTTATCAATAAAATGTAATCTAAGGCTATACTCTATAGATGCTATCCAATAAGGAACATAGATAATATAATATAACACAGTGAATCATTTTAATTTAATAACAAGGCTTTAATGATTCACTGTGTTATACTGTCATCTGTGTCTCTTGTTGAAAAGCATTCTATGATAGTTAATCATAACTGTTTTTTTAGCTTTTTTATTTTTCTTCTTTTTCTTTTTATGTTCAAAAAAATGAACTATTCAGTTAAATAGAATAGACTTACTTTTTTTATGATAGAACAGACTACATTAGTTTATGATAGTCTCTAGTATTGTTAATGTTGTCCTTACTGTCATTATTTTTTCAGATTAGATTTGTTGTAACCGACCGTGCAGCTTATGTGCTAAATTCATGGAGTCCACTACAGCAAAATTTAAATCATGCAAGTGTCCCTTTCAAACTTCTATATTTATGGAGTAATGAATATCTAATTAATGAAATACAAATATCTGTGATTATTGAATGGCATTTCTTTGCTAGCATGTGTTTAATTAGAAAAATAATGGAACTGATTTTACTTTTAGATAATGAATGGCACTGCCATTTTAGGAGTGCCAACAAAGACACCAGAACCTGGCGAAGATTATTCAGTGATACATGGTCTGCGCGTAGCAATCGAGACACTGAATGAGTGTTCTGAGATACAACACGAAAAAAGAACTTCTCTAAACGAGAACACCAACAAACTGATAAATCGAGGCAGGGTAATATGCATCACAAGTGCACGTGATAACAGCAACATGAAGAATTTAGAGAATATATTTTTGAATGAATTAGCACAGGAAAACAAGAATGCGCTATCTTCAGATCAGTTAGTATTTTTTATCAGTTAGTATTTTTATACTATTATACATTATTATAATCATATTAAACTTTGTTCTAATTTACAGTTTGATTCCTATTGACTATTGTCATTTAGTTATACTGAACATATATCCCAACAATATTGAATCTCAAGTCACTAGTCAAGGTCCTCGAGAGGTAAGCCTTTAATAATTAATTATTTTATGTTTTGTATTTTGTCATTAAAATAATAAAGCATGTTTATCAATTTTTTATAAGACATTTTATAATATAATTTTAATTTTGTAATATTATCATAATTAGAGATAAAAATGACCAAATTTTACGATAATTTACTCGATAATTTACGGTAAATTAGTCAGTAATTTATGGAGACTGGTAAAATGGTAATTTAAAGAAATTATAAAGATAAAGTAATTTGATTTAAAAATATTTAGTCATTAAGTTAAAAAGTTGAAAAACACTTTATTTAATTTAAATTTTCATTTCGATACATAATTACATGATAGAATAATTAAGAAACCGTATAAGTACGTAGTAACTAGAGAAACTTCAAATAAATTTTTTATTAAAATTTTTAAAACAAAAAGTGACAGGTACAGTAGTCCTTAAAAGTTAAGAAGTTAATTATATTTTTTATACCTTCTAAACTTATAGTCTACGTAGTAAGTAGAAAAACTTTAAATAAATTTTTTAATTTTGAAAACAAAAAGTGTGGTACATAATCTTATATTACATTTTTCATACCTTATAAATTTATTATAATGCTTTTATTTGCTTTTTATTTATTAGGTGTTGGAATTAATTCGTAGCGTTTTACAAGTGATGGGAAGTACTTTTATTAATGTATTTTTTAATGCTCATGTGAAATAAATAACATTCTTTCATTAAAAACGCTACGAATTAATTCCAACACCTAATAATTTTTAGCAACTGTCATGTTTTTACTAGAATAAAAACAAAAATAATATAATCATATATTCAAACAAAAATATATTAATTATATTTATGTTAATTAACGTTTTGTTCCGATTAAATTATACCCTATTGAAAAAGATCACGTAATTTGAAAAATCACAAGATATTAACAATAATTTTATCATATGATTTTAATTTTATAGTTATTAAATTTTTTATTTTAAATAAATTAAACAAATTAATTAATTAAATGATAGAAATAGAAGAAAAAAATATATATCATTTAATTTTATATATAAAAAAATACTGTTTATTTGTGCATAAAATTATAAGAAACAAATTTTATCAAAATTACCAATAAATTACCATTTTATCGCAATTTTACTGTAAATAATTATAAGAAATTATATTGAATTTTATGATACTTTTGCATTAATCTAAGAATGCTCTATTTCGTTTTTATATTTGTTGTACATATAAAAAGTAAATTAAAATAAACTAGATTAAAATTCTTTTACACAGGTATCATCATTTCTTACAGTAGAAGTGCATTCAATCAAGGCTTCATCACTTCATTCCAAGTTATCTCATTTGATTTTGTCTCATTATGATTTGGCCAGTACTACAGTGACCGGTATACCTATGAAAGAGGAGCAGAACGCCAGTTCGTCTGCCAATTATGATGTGGAAATATTTCATTCTTCAGCTGCACATACTGCCATTTTAAAAGGTTTTACTTAAAAAAATTTCTTTTTCAAAATTCTTTAAATTCCTTTAGATACCATAAAGTTTCATGGTTGGTTATAGGTAATCCGCAAGATTCGGCATTAATAAAAACATTCAGGCGTTTTGAGGAAGGATCGGAATACGAGACAGTCACGTTGAAGTGGTGCACGCCGCGCGGCTGTAGCGCGTCAGAGATGCAGAACTGCACGGCAATGTACCGAATCACACCAGTGGACGTCAATAGCCGACCATCATCTTGTTTGATTAATTTCCTATTGAATGGTAGATCGGTAATGCTGGAAATGGCCAGAAAGGCCGGTGGAAAAACTATTTCCCATTTATTAGCAGCGCACGGTGGCGAGATTTTCATTCATACGTTATCTACGGCTCGAAGCGTGCTGGAGGATCCACCCTCCATTAGTGAAGGGTGTGGTGGTCGTGTTACAGATTATAGAATAACCGTAGGATGCTTTTGTAATTACTATGTTTTGTATTAAGGATTATAAATTTAATTAATTAATCTATTACTATCAATTCCATCGTTTTACTATCATTTATATTAAAAATTTTACATGTGTTAATTTTATACTTGATAAATATTTATTTTTTATTAGGAATAAAATATGACTTGCGATACAACTGTCTTAATTCAATAATATTTTTGTTACAGGATTTTGGCACTCTCATACGAAATAACATATTAGTACCACTAAAACGTACTTCCACTTCTAATACTGATGGTCTAGTAGAAAAGATGAGATCGAGACTAGAACGTCATACCAAATATTGGCCCATGACTTTTTCTCGTACTCTCATGTTTAATTTAAAACATGTTTGTATATAAAGAAAATGCTAATAATAATTATATTATAATAGTAGATTTAAACAATATAATTAATAAATCTTAAAATATTCTGATTAAATTTTTAAATTTATCTTAATAATATAGAGAGATTTTTAATTATTTTACAATTTATGAAAATTCAGAAAATTAAATATGTTAAAATTTTGAAGATCTTATAATTAAATATTAAATTCTTCAATTAAAAAAAATTGATATCAGATATTTTTAAATTTTTCGTATAGATAGATCCGCTTCCAGAAATAATGGTAAAGGATGAGCTCACTACGGAAGAAGTGCTCCAATGCAAACAAATAATTTTTAGCTTGCTCGGATTAGAAGCAAAACACGAAGCCTTGCCTTTGCCAAATATCGGCGGAGGTCGTGGCGGGGAAGGAGGACGCAGAGAAGAACATTATCGTTTGTTATGGGATGAAATAGAAACGTTCCTTAAACATCATGCCAACAATTCGGCCGCACATACTGAGGTCCTTAATTGTTTGTTGGAGATCAGGAATAAAGATGAAAAGGACAAAGTAGAACTCGATCAGGCTCTACGGGAATTAGATAGGTAATTAAAAAATTGAATTTGATGTATAAATTACAATTTACTTCTTATCAAACTAAATTGAAATTTTTGAATTACTACAATATAATATATAGTTGCTTTTATATTCCGTATTTTTAATTTGTTTCTGCTTCTTAATTCTAATCCGGAGTTTATTGATAAGTCAAATTTACTACACTTTATAATAAATTCTATACAAAAATAAAAAAGAATGTTCAGATGTCATACAAAGTGTATTGTAATTGATATTATTTTTAATGCACTATTATAAAAATCACATTATAAATTTATATTTTATTATTGTTAGAGTTTTATTTTCTTAGATAAAATTTTATGTAAATTTTTGTTGTAATTTGTAAATGGAAACAAATGAGAATTTATTTGTATTGATGTAGGCTAAAAAGATAAAATTATACTTAAAGATAATAGAAATTGAAGATTCTGAATATTAAAGGTTCATTGAACTTTAGAAATCTAAATAATGATCTCTTTATAGTTTTAGCAAAGAAGATGGAACTGCGAGAGTCAGTGTGATCAGAGCAACAACAGATTCACCGATGTCACCGCCGGCGAGCGTATCGATACCCCTAACCAAACAGTTGCACAAGGGCAATATTGCTGGGTCGAGGAGTCTCCTGGACATCTGGTTGCAACGCAGCGCTCCAAAAGAAAGGAAACCAGATTTTCATGGTAGAGTTAGTAGTGATGGTCTTAAAGCGAAATTGTATCCCAACTTGAAGGAAGTTGGACGAGAACCCAGAGAGGCCATGCTAGAAGGATAACGGATAAAAGAGACGGAGTGCATTGCATAGAGACGCCACATGTGTGACATTGTAAATATAATTGTATTAGATAATATTATTCAACAGTATCATATTCGTGACTGTACAAGATGTATTTGATCAGTTAAAACTAAAAAAAATTCGACGACAGTAATTAAACATTTTTTACATTTAAAGCAAGTGTATATTTCTGGTTTGTTAGTTTATTATGTCGACAATCTTGAAATAATAATAATATATAATTTATCAGATTGTAATTTTTAATTACAGTAAGTCAAGTAAGAGCGTGGTCGAATTAATTTATAAAAAAATGTATTAAATAAAATTTTTATATGCATATATCGTATGTATACTCGATCAAATCAAAGATATATTAGTAATGCGACCAGTCATCATCGGCATCGATAATTGCCTGGCATCTTCAAGGCATGCTTTCGAGCAAATTAACGGCATATTCTAACGATAAGGTTCTCCAAATCCGTCGAATCTCGCGAGATAGCTGCTTTAAAGTGTAAGTGCATTTTCCACGCTTGTGCTTAATGTATGCCCACACATTTTCGATAGGATTTGCGTCGGGCGATTGCGACGGCCAATCCAGTGTAACTATGCCAGATTGCTGTTTCCACTCGGTACAGAGCTTGCTGCGGTATTTGGGATCATTGTCCTCCTGCAAAATCCAATCCTCATTTTTGTCGATGAACCTACGTTCGGCAGACAGCCGACAAACAAAGCCTTTTTGTTTCGAGTATTTTCTCGGCGTTCAGGTTGCAAGTAAACAAATACAAAATGCCGAAACCCTGCTTTGAAAAGCAACCCCAAAGATGCACCTTTATTCCATGTTTAACGATCCGCTCGATAATTTTATTTCTGAAAATTGACTAGGCTCGTTTGAGGGTACAACGTGTCCATATGGAACATTCGTCAGTAAAAATTACGTTGCTAAAGTCTCGATCAATGTTCTCGCGCGCCTAAGCGAGTCGCTTCGTCACATGTTTTTCATTCAACAGAGGTTTCTTCACTGTGTTGCACCATTTCATGTTATTAGCCTTGAGATAGGTTCGAATAGTTTCGTCAGATATATTTAAACGTTTCTGCTTCAATTTTGCTTGTCCTTGACGCAGTGTTAAGCCAGGATTCTGTGAAAACAGATTCACTATTTTTTTATAGTCTTTTTTGTCCACTTTGCATGTCAAGCCACGTTCCGGTAAATCATCGACATTTTTTGTCACATTATATCGCTGCACCCATTTCTGTACGAATGATTTCGACTTTTTCATATATTTAGCAGCCGCTAATTGTGACATTTTTGGACCTTTCGGGTGAGTGCAGAGAAACACAGCTTCATAGCGTGATGCATATTTGGTACTCATGGCGCTTAATGTGACTCTCTTAAGAAAGTTCAATGACAACTGAATCTTCCTTGATAGTGCATTTTAGGAATATGTGACTCAATTGACGAGTCTGATTCTCAAGACAAGCCTACGCTTGTCGTGTGACATGACGTAAGGTGTAAAGATCAACCACTTTTCTTGTAATTAGTAACGATGAATTTATTGCTGGAACAGGTATAAATATGACCAGGATGAGTATATCCTGCGTCATTCCATCTGACTTCTTATTTTTTCTAACGCTGCTTGTAGGTAACTCGCAATCCACAAAATCCCTAGGCTTTCTTCGCTCGCTGCGCTAGTGAGACATTGAGAACGTAGCTAAGCATCAAGGACAAAGGTGCCCTCTATGGATTCATGATAGATTTAGGGCGATATCTTTTATTAGCTTTGAGTAAAGCCGACCACTCTCTTACTTGACTTACTGTATTTAGAGGAAGAGAAACATTTCATAATTTTTAAACGTCCTGTATACAATAATTATAATAGGATTTATTTAAATAATTTAAATAATTCCATGATACATTCCATATAGAAGTGACATTTATAAAAATTCAGTAATATGATAAAAATTCATGAATTTAACAAAGGATTTATATTACAAAAACAAGATAATAAAAAGATTTATTTCTAAAATTTAAAAATTTTATAGCAAATCTTTATTACAAATAAAAAATTTAGAAATATAAATTAATAGGCAAACCTTTAATAGACAAAAAAATAAGAGTTAAAGATATATAACAAGAATTGGAAAGAAAATAAGATTATCAGAAATTAGAAAGATTATAAAAGGCATATACTTGGATATATCTATAATACAAACGCACATACAATGAGCATATTTCCACTAGAAAATTTATCTTTTTGGGCCAAGGATAAGGAAAAGAATTCGACCACACGGTTGTCGGAATGATCATCGTCAGTCAACTTCATGTTGTGCAAAGACCCACCTGCGTGGGACGAAAGTGTATCAGTGGTACAACATCATTTCCAGCTCCCTCCTCTGCCTCTATCGTCGACCGCTCAACACCCCTCCCGCTGTTTTATTAGTCGACACGTCTGCCGAGTGTCTGAGCCATCTAAGCGATACATCGACCTCTGTCGAATCTATAGTTTGCTTCGTGTGCTCGGCCATGCTAATCGATAAACGTGGAAGGATACCGGGTCGAGGGAGGAGCAAGGAGAGGAGGCGCTCGGTCGTGTTGTTGTAACTCGATGTGACGCACACACGATCTCTCTCAATTTGAGAGACGTAGACAGAGGAAGATGCACAAACGAAAAAAAAGCCTATGTATACCTAGAGATTTGGAAGTTTACAAGTAGTATAATATGTAAGTAGTAACTTATGAACAAAGAACTCTTGTAATATTAAGACATCAAAATTTATTGAGAATTAAAAGTGTTAAACGGTAGATTTTTTAGGAATCAAAAAAATTAAAAATTAAAAATCAAAGAATATATTAAGAAACTAAAAATTTAAAAATTCTAGATGCTTGTCCCCCGCGAGTTCCAAGAATCCAAAGGTCTATCTGTACGTAAAAATCCTTGGGAGCATTCTATACTCTTTACCGATCCATCTCAATTCATCCTCCTCCGAAGAGAAGGTAAGAAAGTATAGTAGAAGGAAAATTATGTGACGATCAAATCGATCCATTTCAAGCGAGGCCATTACTTATGCTGCACCTTGTATAATGCAAGCCGCTAAAAGAGAGATAGACGGGACCGCGGCGAGAGGGCGAGAGGGTTACGAGAGAAGGACGAGGTGGAGGAGGAAGAGGACGAGAAAGAGGAGGAGGGTTGCGGAAGGGGACCAGTGAGTACAAGTGCATGACGTAACGGTTCATTCATCCCGAGACAGGCGATAGAGGATATCCCGGTCAATGGTATACTTATGCATGTAAACGCGCGCATACGTGTGTACGTATGATGTATGTAAGTATGAGTATGCAGCATGCACATGTCTGTCGCGCTGCTCATTTTTTTCGGACGTACGCGCCACGTGCATGCGTGCGTGCGGAGATGAAGCAACACGTGGTAGAATGTAGAAGTAGAAGTGCCCGAGTGTCCGATTTCTTCATGAACACTTTGACATTTTTCAAATGTGGATTTTTTACGCTCAAAGTTGCTGCGAAGCACTCGTCTATTATACAGCTTTCTTAGATTTCCCAAACGTTATAGAGAGAGAGAAAGAGAGAGAGAGAGAGAGAGAGAGAGAGAGAGAGAGAGAGAGAGAGTCACTTTTAGAGAGTCGTTAAATGCCTTCCTTTTTTACTGTTATAATATAAATTATATATATTTTGCTATTATATATAATGTGTTAATTTTTTGTCATAATGTAATTTGTACTATGTTGCAACTTTTGCTTCTTAAATTTGCGTTATATTAATCTTTCAGTATTACACACATATATTACACACACGGACATACTATATACAAAAAAATATTTTGTTGCTTCAGCTAGAATTATAACTGTTTTTTGTATCTGATAGAAAATTATGTATCATACGCATAGAATTTATAGCACAAATCTAAATTCTATCTCTGTCATCTATATGATTAGGTGCAATACACATATCCAATATCGTAGTACTTGGTAGAAATTTATCTATTTTAGCTATTTTTCGTATTTAATAACGTTATATTATAATTTTCGCTATAACTGTAAGATCACTTTTTTTAGTGTAAAACAAAATTTATTAAATCTTAATACGTATTTGTTTATAAGTAGTAATAACAAAACATTTGCTTGTAGTAAATAAATATTAAAAAAATAACGAGTTAAATCAAATTAATGATTTTCATATCAAAAATATATTTGGTAAATATTTAATTAGTATCATTTTCAAACAAATATTTATTACAATTTAATATATTTTAATAATTTCTGCAAAATATGAACTTCATAAAACGTATAGATTATATAAATATATTTTTGTAAAGGACTTAACTCGACATGCGTTTTCTTGTAAAATAATCATTACGCTGTTTCATCATCAGAATACACTGATAAGAAATGCGGAAGTGTTGATAAATATGACATAAGTTGTCGCAATAATCAAAAGTAATGATATTTAATGATCACATTATCATATTTGTATAAAAAAATTTCTGATAAGTTTTTATCAAAGATACACATAAACTCCTGTATTCATATATTTAGTAAATGTAGACACTGATTGTCAAAGAAATATTGTTAATCGACATTAAATGCAATTTTGCTGTTCGTCGATAAAAATATAATAACTGAACATAATATGAGACATAAATGTAAGAAAAACGACAGCATTAAAATCGTGACGAGATCAGGAATTCTAGCTGCAGCTGTTTACTAAACGACTATGAATCGACGATTGACGTTATATTATAATATGAAATGAGCGTGTTATAGAGAGTTATTATATGAAACACATACATGATGTTCAATATCAATGAAGTGCGATAATACGCGGTGCCTGTAATTATTTATAGCGTTTTCAATATTCTACCCCATAAATATTAAATGCTGCAGATATACCGCCAGAGCAATACCGAATACGTAAATAGACATATTAATTGTTGCTGATAGCGCAGTGCATAGTCTGCTCTGCATCAGGCCATACCGATACGGGAGAGCTCAGCGTTTATATAATTGAAACTCTGGCGTATAGCTGGTACATATCGATCCGCGGCCTCCGAGGGTCACTGAACGAAACGAGGGAACGAAGCGGGCACAGCGCGAGCACAGAGCGACGTCCTTCCGCGCCAATAAATAATTATAAACAGGAATTTTAGCGTAAAAACGTCGACGAACTGCGTTAACATCGACTGAACGTCGTTATACAAAAATGAGTTAATCAATCAAACAATGTAGCTTTCAGGTATATTAAGCTTAAAACGTCAAACTATATATTTCTAGCAAAGATATGTGTGCATAATTATCTTTATTTTACGTTTTTCTTTTTTAATTTCATATGTAGATTTATTCTCGCGTGATAACGTAATTAATTTTCATTTTGATTAACTCAATTTTACTGTATCTATAAAGGCGTGTGTAATGATACTATAATTTAGGAAGAAAGAAAACAAATTGTTTAATCCGATGTTAATTAAATGAGATTATTGGACAGGAGCACGTAAGCTTTTTGAATGAAAAATTAATTGATTTGGAAAACGAGGCAATATTGGAAGGAAATATCCGAATTTAATATTAATTTATATACTTTGTATAGATGTGTAGTATTATTTTACTTTCATGTTTTGTTTATCGCCGATAAAATATATTCCTCGAAATATTGATTAAGGTCTCATCTCGTCTATATATTTCTCTGATATTAAATTTTATTTACTCGAACGCAAAATTATTAATAACGGTTTAATATATTTCTTGAAAGTTTCTCTTCGTGCAATAAATCTTTGATAGTGCAACGCTATTAATACATTCCTTAAAAATATTGATTTATATATAATATATTTCTTTTCTTTTAGTGGAAAGTTACTACGAGCAGTTGATATATTTTTCAAGACATTAATTTTTACTTATAGATCGAAGTCTTTTTGAATGTGATATTCGATTAAGTTAGGATTTAAAAACTCGGCAAAATTTTTGTACGGTTCACTCGGTATATGCTTCGACAAGACCAGCAGTTCAGGCTTGCATTTTTCAGAGTACTCCATGGAGCCCCATTGAGAGAACGCAGCGGCAGCATAAAACCCGGTTTCCCTTCGTAGGGCTGCCGCCCTTCAAGGCTCACGGCCGACCGGCTCTTTGTCGTCCCTTTGACGTCCCTGCAGGATGTACGAAGCACTAAAGCGAAACGCCAGGGGCGTATTGGATGAAGAAATATACAGCGTGTCCCTCCGATTTTTCAAACAGCATCAAATTACGTTAGGATTTTTGAAACTAGCATAATATATAGAAAAAAATGGATATAATTAAAAGAGAATATAGAAATAAATTACACATTATATTAGGTATTGGAATTAATTCGTAGCGTTTTTTAATGAAAGAATGTTATTTATTTCACATGAGCATTAAAAAATACATTAATGAAAGTACTTCCCATCTCTTGTAAAACGCTACGAATTAATTCCAACACCTAATACATGTAACGTACGAGTGAGATAATTTTGTGTTAAAGTAAAATTTTATATTTATAAAAATTGAAAATAATTACATTATTATAAATGCTAAGAAAAAATTATTATTTAGTAAAACTAATATTTTATTCATTTTATTGGAAAGTAAAAATTACGTAATATTCCTTTTATTCAAAAATTTCTCCATCTATTTTGTCAAAGAATTTAAACGATACATTTATTTAAAGCTTTTAAAATCCTCCATTCGATACGTGTTTCCTAGGCCTTTAAAAGATTTCCTATTTTTTGTAATACTTTGTCACAAATTTCAGGATCTTTTTTCGTAACAAGAAATACATTGAATACGTCGAAAAAGCTATCAATTTTGTGATCTTTTTGTCAACTTCAAAAACTTCTCGGTCTGTACGACTAAAAAGTTTTTAGAAAATCAAAAAATCCTAGAGATTTCTGCTTAAAATTGTCAAGTTAAAAGTTCCAACACACCAGAAAACGTCCGTTACTGTGCCGCAAGGCAGCTGCTCGTAGCAGGACGATTTTCAAAGGGCGACTTCTAATGAGCTCTCGCTACCCTGGCAGAGGGTCCGGGAATACTGCTGGGAGATTATGTTCCTGTGCTTCATCCCTTCTCCGTCCCTAGTCCCCGGCTCTCCATCTTCACTTCGTTTCCACCTCTGGAGATTTTCCGAGCAGCCAGATAAGAGTCTTCTCCCGAAGCGATCAGATTTTTGCCTCATGCCGTAATATTGTAAAAACCTGGTAATAAATTAAACTAGATATCTTTTGCCGTAAAAAATATCAATTTATTTATATAAAAAAATTAAATCTGTTTATGAACTTATACCAAATTACTGTATTATATTCTTAAATAATTATATTTGGAAATGTATTCGAATAACGACATGAATGCAATTGAATATCATTCCATAACTTATGAAATTCCTTTTTCTTGATTACAGCGATGTAAACATAATCGTCTTGACTTATTTCCTTCTGTTTCTTGGATTTTACATTCTGAGTGGCGCGTGGGAAAAGTAGTTCTGGTTTAATGTTACAATATGAATGATCCTTTACTTTCCAACGGAGGTGTTATAGAACTAAAAGAGGTTCTATAGAACTGATGTACATTTCTTTTTCTCAGGTAAGTAATTTAAATGCGCACTAGTAGATATGTATACTAGTTCATACGATACGACCAATCGATCCTTGTTAATTTTATCCAATATTAATATAAATCCAATTGATGTAAAATTCCTACATTGTGTGACGATCGTAGCACAAAGAATTGTGTGTCTACTTTCTGTGCCAAAAATCTAGATTCAAATTCCATCTAGAACATATCAAATTTTATTTTGACCGTTTTCACCTCTTGGAATAGCAATGGCAAATCACCGAGAGTATCTTTGCTGCGAGAATTTTTTTTAATAATTCGGAATCGTTTTAAAACTGTAGGTTTCTTGACAGAAGATCACGATGTTAATAAATATTTTACTAGCATAAAAGAAGAGAATAATACATGATATTATAACAAAAATATGGAATATCGTCCTACTATAACTTTGTTATCACGTTTCTCTTCATGTCTATCAAGTTTTTATTTTATTATAGATCTGAAAATAAAAAAATGTTATTATTATATTGTACTATTTCAATATAATTTTAATTTTACTGATTTTATTGATTCAATTATGTGTTATATACAATGATTATGTAGATATCTAAAGTAGTGAATTATTTTTGACATTTGGCTTACAATGTCGTATGGTAAATGCCATGACATACCACCGTGGCACGGGTCACGTGCACATATCGTCGCCGAACGTTACGTCACCGCGTCTTCACCGACGCGGCCGTCCACACAATCGCACTTGTGTGACCTTGTGTTTTGTATATATCACCCTCCCTGCTTGTCCTCTCTCTCTCTCTCTCTCTCTCTCTCTCTCTCTCTCTGTCTTTCTCTTTCTCTCCCTTTATCATTCCTCCCTTTGCGCACCCCGCGAGAATATCTCTTGCCTCGCCCCCGTTGCCCTCCTACACCACATTGGCGTCACGTGTGGCATGAACAGGAGAAAGGGAGCGAAGAGGAGGCGGTGGAGGTGGCGAGGGGGGACAGAAGGGTGGTTTAAACGGGTGAACACGTCGCAGCTAAGGTCGCGGCGGACGTTACTAGGTCACTGGAGTGACCGCGATGCATTGCACCCGCTCCCGCCCCTCCCTTCAATCCCCCTTGCTCGTCGTCCCCCTATCTTCCTCCTGCCCTGCTTCTCCCGATGCCCTTTCTTCGATGCTTTGCCTTCCTTTGGAATCCGCGAGAGCAAAGGGAACAAATAAGGAGATGAATTCTCCTCCTCTCTCTCGTTATCTCTCACACATAACAGAGCAATTTAGGGTGCGTTCCACTTGACGCTCATGGAATCATTTCATCCTTGTTGTTTATTAAATGTTAAACGAGGGCAAATGCTCGCGAGCATCGTAAGCGCCAAATGAAAAATGCACCCTTAGTCGACAATCCTCTCGTGATCCTTGGATTATATCTATGGATGTATCTCTGTCGAGTGAACTCTCGAGAATTCAGCGACGAAGTCTCATTTCTATTGCGTTATTTTTTAATGATCGATTGTTGTCCATTTCTATCATTATAGATTAATTGTAACTTCGGTTTAATTTACTGTTTATTTTTTCCTAATTTTTAGAATTAAAATTAAAAAGTAATACATTAAATTAAAGATTAAAGTTGATATATGTACATTTATAAAAATGAATATTATTCATGGTAGATATACGTAGAGGAAAGACCCCTATTATGAGATACCGAGGTCATTTTGGGTAAATGCTAGAAGTTTATAGGCAGAATTTTAAAAAATAATAGATCATTTTGAAGAGAATTTAATAAGCTTTAAGATAACATTATATATCGAAAATTTAATTCAAATTTTTTTTTTATTTAAAGAAATGTAAAAAGTGAGCAAATCGCAAAGTCAAAAAATTGTGCTCCTAATATGAGATGCTCCGAGAAATCGATAGTAAAGCGCAAAGTATATCAGTATTGCAATTAAAAAACTTTATTTAATGTTTCTAAAATATAAAAACACAGCTAACGTGCGCGAAAAATGAGCATGTGTTAGATTATATCCAGAACTCGTCTTCAAGTAGTTGGAATCAAGCATCGCAGATATAGGCACTTGACGTTCATTCCAGTTGTCTTTTTTATTATTGTACAGTAACATTTATACTTTAGCAACGATTTTCTATCAATTATAACATAGGAACATGGGTTATTTCATATTAGGAATACCCTGGGTATCTCATATTACGATTTCCATGCCTTATGGTTTTTACGATCATTAAATCTAACTTCTGTAATTAAACAATTCAACATATCCTGTATTTTTCTATTAGTACGACCTTACTCTATCACTACATGAAGAATTTATTACCAAATATTTATTTATTAAATAATAAACAAGGTTTAAATGTTCATCTCAATGAAATTTGAAGACATCCAAATTCTAAAATTTCTTTTTTTACAATGACTTAGGCATGATTTAATAATGAATTTTCTACTAAAGCGTTTATTAGATCAACAGAAACGTCGCTATCTCATATTAGGCGTCTATTTCATAATAGGGGGCTTTCCTCTAAGTTTAAAACTTAAATCAAATTCGCGAATTATGCAATATGCTTACTTCATTGTCTTAGAATCTTTTTGTATGTAAAAAATTTTTTTAGATTTTTATATCCTCCGATTAATTGGGTACTCGTGAATGAATCGCTTTTTTAGTTGAAATTTTTAGTCATTAAATCGGAAATTCTGTCAGAAACCTACGATATTGCGAAATCGGAGTGAGTTTTTTCTCTTGACGAGAACCGTAGCCTGCTGCGCTGAAACCTCAAGTTCGAGTTCCCGCTTCGCTCGCTTATGCTTCGACAAACCGGTTTCGACGCCACCGATCTCAGCACCGATGCAAAATCGAACCTCGGTAGAACGTGCGAATGTAAATCGCATAGCTCCAAAGCACAATCAAAATTAACGACGGACGATCGGAACAACCACGTGAAATATAAAAATGTAAAATACTGTACACATATCCTAACATTCAACTCTAAAATTGATTATTTCTTTGAAATTCGATTTACAAACGAGATACGTTTTTCCAAACGAATCCAAATTACGTAAAAAAATAAAATAAACTCTTTACGAATTAAGAATCAAAGTTCGTCTCACAAAAATTATTCAAGTCTCTTAATATAAATAGAGATTCATAGAAAAGTTAATTTTGCTTTCATATTAAATCCGATATCTCGCAAATTAATATAAGAAATTATAGATTAAATATAATATCTTCCTTCTGATGAAAGTTCTCAATCATGAGCATAAATTGAAGATTTAATTGTCAGTGGTATAAAGAATTTACTGCGTAGACAACAATAATTACTTCAATCGCGAAGAGAAAAACACTTCGTGTGGTGTCATAAAAGCGAAGTACATGCGTGAATAGAAATAAGCCAAATTATCATGTCAATATAAATCAGCAAACTGCAAGGTATCATCAATTCACCCTCCCGCATTCTATTCTACGAAGGTTAACGGTATAGCTTTTCATTGCTCATTTGGCCTGTTTAGATATGTGTCATTCACCTTGACTTATTCCTATTGTGCTTTTATTGCAAGCCTTGTAACATGTTTTTTGTATACCTGACCAACCTCTCACACAGAAAGGTCTCTTCTTTAAATACATCTTTACGGGAAACAAAACAAATTAAAAAAAAAAAAAGAAAGGCCGAAGTTCCGAGAAATAACAATAGTTAGAAAGGATCAGGAAACGTCTACAATTCCTTTAAG